CCTACCTGGGGAAACAACCTTTCTCGGAGAGGTGACCTTGGTTAAAACACACAGCGCTAAGGGGAGCAAACATATTAAGAACAGTATGCTATATACGCCAGGTCCCTTGAAACATATGCTGTGCAGATGTTTCTTTCCTGCAGTGACTGTGTCAAGCATCAAGGATGGACCGGCTTCCGGCACTGAACAATAAAGATTTAATTTAAAAAAAAACAAAACAAAAACATATTATAAAAGATGTCATTTACCTCATTCATCTATTCTGGACCCTGGGATCTTTAATATAGTGCCAAACAGGGTCTGTTGGTTCTGAGATTTGATTTTACCATGCTTGCAAGCTAATAAGTTAGCCTGTTACTATTTCACTGGTGCATCAGTGTGCTTGCCTTGGTTCCCTTGCCCCTCATTCACACGGCCTGGTTGGGAGCCTGCACATGCAGTTGGCTATATTATATGATAGCAACACCGAACTTGGGAATCCACTGTTATTATAGCAAGCAGTAAGCAAGCCTGCTTTTTGTGTGGAATGGATACATTACCTTATCTCTCAATTTGCTCTCTGCAAACACAACCTTGAGAAATGGTCAGGGCTGTTCATTTTTGGCATACACTGAACGAATGTGCAGTATGCTAGCTGCCCATGGCACTTTGCCTCTCCCAACAGGTCCTTTTAGTTCTGGTCTGTGTCCAGTCTCCTCATAAGCTCATCAAAGGAATTTTTTACATAAGGACTTCTAAAAACAACAAATACGCATTTCTATGTACAGTTGACTTATGTATAGGTATACAAAATTAAATATTAATTATTTACAAATCGGATACTACTGTCAATTTCTATTTTCTCCTTAATAAGTATTCTTATCTCTTCTGGCCCAATCTAGATTTTTTTCTTCCACATCCTCCTAATCCTCTTTTGGAGGGTTCCTTGGAAATAGGATGGAGACATTTTTTGTATCAAAGCCCTTATTACTATTCACAGAAATTTCTTTATCTTTGCATCTGCAATTCCTAGTGCATACCTCAAATATGGTCCTTTTCTAATATGACTGCTGTGAACCTTGTTTTCTTTGTCATGCCCTGTTTTCTGTGATGGCAAAGGCTATGGTCTACTCTCTTTGACAGGAAAAGTTACTTCCTGTTTGATATTCAGATGGAAAGCTGAACCACAATGGACAGAAACATGGCCACTATAACGTTTTCTGGATAACATTACTAAATAATCTTCCACTTGCCTGCATCAGTGCCAGGGACATTGTTGTTTATTCACTCATTCTCAGTATTGTGTGGATTGTAAAAATCCATGGAAATTGGATTTAATATTCAGTCTACAGATATTTTATAAAAATGAATGCCCTTAATGAATAAAATGGAATAAGGCTAAATTGAGTGCATATAGTTTATAACTATCAATTATATAATAAAGGCTGTGGAATGTCTGTACCAATTCAAAATATAATTTCAAATCCTATCAGTACTCTTTTATCCTCCAGAATAATGTGTTAATTGTGTATGTTGATGTAATTATTGCTATTAGCAAAGTAGGTAGAGTTGATTTTTGTCTCTCCCTTGTCTTTGCTTATCCTTATTGTTGCTTATAAGAAAGCAATGAGCCCTAGCTGGTTTGGCTCAGTGGATAGAGTGTCAGCCTGTGGACTGAAGGATCCCGGGTTTGATTCTGGTTAAGGGCAAATCTGATCCCGGGTTGTGGGCTCGATCCCCAGGAGCGGGCATGCAGGAGGTAGCTGATCAACGATTCTCATCATTGATGTTTCTATCTCTTTTTCCCTCTCCCTCTCTCTTCTTTTTTGAAATCAATTAAAAAATATTTTAAATAAAGAAAGCAATGACAGCATGAAATAGCTTGCATTATCTGTGAATACAGAGAGAAAAATGAAACTCTCCTAATCTCATGCTAATTTTCCTAAAGGTCCAGTTTTATCTCATTGTTTCAAAACTGAGCAGCCCATGCCCTTTTTGGGGGAAGCACAGGGGGGGTATGCTCAGTGGGAGATCAAATGGTGATTACATTTTGAGAAATTGAGTAAAAATAATAGATAGTGTTCTCTCTACTTCTCCTGACGTAAGTAACTCCCTTGGTGAAAGTCACATATATTCAGAAACTGCATTAACATTTGAAGGCCACTTTGGTGCTAGTTAATAAGTTATCTTTTCAGCATACTAAAATAGCACCTGGATGGACATTCCAATGGCTTTCAGAGACAGAATAGTGTAGCAAGGCAGGGTTATTGAGAATCAAGAACAAGAGCTCAATTGGGGAGTTAGATTGACTGGGTTTAAAACCCAGTGGCACAATTTACTAGCTGTATGACCTTGGGAAAATCTCCAGGCTTCAGGCGTCTCATAGGATGGTATTAAACATAGAACATAGGGCTTTTTGGATGATTAAATGAGATAATCCATGGAAGGCACTTAGCTTAAGTGCCTGTCACCTAATATTCATTATATAAATGAGAGCTCTTATTATTTCTTGGGATTTTAATAACATATTAATAATAGTAATAGTTAATGAGTACTTGCTATGAACTTGGCACTGCATTTTTCAGAAGCACTGATTTATTTAATTCTCTGAGGTAGTGATCTGAACACAAAGGATGGCATTGTCAAATCAGACACATGACAGTCAGAGATCCTACCCTGCATCAAGCTTCACTAATATTCATTATAAGCAATCATGAGGAACAGGTGCGGCAGAGAGAGGTCTGAGACCACCAACACAGATTCCCACATCCTCTCTTCCATGAGCATTCACTCTGGCACAGATTAACATGAAGTCTCTACATTAGTAATGCAAGTTGCTATATCATTTACACAAAGGGAGCTTTTTCAGGAATGACATTTCCATTTTATACTCAGGTAGTTACTAGTTTACCCGACATTTTCCAGTGTCCTGGCCCATACTAGTAAATCCTTAGGTTCCAGGTTTGTCTACTGTAAGTAAACATAACAGAGGAGGTATATCTCACTAAAGTCTTTCAATAGGTAAGGGCTGTATTAGTCCACCAGAACTGCCATACAAATGACTGAAAACCGGGTGACTTAAAAAACAGAAATTTATTTTCTCAGTTCTTGGGGCTAGAAGTCCAAGATCAAAGTGCAATTAGTGTTGATTTCGATGAGGTCTCTTCTCCTGGGTGTAAATGGCAACCTTCTCACTGTGTCCTTACATGGCCTTTCCTATGTGCCCATGCAGAGAAAAAGGGAGGGCTCTCTTGCATCTCTTTGTCTTCTTACAAGGACACCAGTCCTTGACCAGGAATCAAACCCATGACCCTCCAGTGCATAGGCAAACGCTGTAATTACTGAGCATGCTGGCTAGGGCACCAGTATACTCTTAAAATATGGTCTTCACACCACTTGCAAAGTGATCTTTCAAAATGCAAAACTGACCATGTCATTCCTCTGCTTAAAATATATTAAGGATCCCCATTCTTAAAATAAGAACAGGAGTCTTTATTATAGTCTGTGAGACACATAGTCTAGCTACCAACTACATTTCTAGCCTCAGTTCACACTGTGCTCTCATGTGTTCTCTGTACTCCCCCAACACTGGCTTATTTTGCAAAGTCTTGCAATTTCAGGGCTTCCTCCTGAACATAGTTTTTTTTGCATATGCTGTTTCCTTCCTTTCCTCCCCCTTTTGCTTGGTTACTTTTTAAAATTTATCCTTCTGACCTCAGGTCAGTTACTTTTTTCCTCAATGAAGCCTTTCTCACCAGTCTGACTAGGCCAAATTCCCTGTTTTCAAAACATGAACTTTAGGTAATCACTGAGAAAGAGTCAGCTTGGAATCAATTCCATGAATGACCAATTAGCTAAAAATAAATTTGGCCAAAGCCAATTTGCAGAAGACCAGTTTATCACTCTGTTCTAGATAGTTCTCTGCAGTTTTCTTTCTAGAAGAGGCAGAGGCAGGGAGAGCTTAAATTGCAAGCTTACATGCAGTGAACTGCATGTAAGAAGCCCACCATTTGCTTACATTGGAGCACTAAAACATTGGGCATTAGAGAAGGACTTGGCATCTGAAATGTGAAAACATGAGATTGACATTTAGCTCAGACTGTCAAATGTGGAGTTAAAGAGCTGGAATGAAAGGACTGTGTCAAAACTTCTGTGAAATTCAGACTTCAGAACATCCCCAATAATTTAGTGAATTGGTTATTTGGTAAAATGATGACTTGGCAGATTATTTTTCATCAGATTGATTTTCTAGAAATTGGCTTTTGGTGAACTAGCTTTCGATGAATTGTCTGTTAGGGAATACAGAGGATCAGTCATTTGGAAAATTGACTTTTGGCAAATTGGCTTTGTGCAAATTGATTTTTGGCAAGTTGACCTTCTTGCCTTCATATAACACACTTTGTAGCATTTTTCATAGTTAATGCTTTCCATTTGTTTTATGATTATTGGATTGGCGATGCTTTCCCCCACTATTCATGCATATCACCAGGGGAGAGGAAATATGTGTTTTTATCCACCATTATATTCTCAGCTTCCAGCACAGTGTCTGGCACATAGCAAGTACATAGAATTTATGAAAAAATAACACTTTGCTACAGATAAAAATGGAAGAAAAATGGATTTTAGGCACCACTTGTTGGGCTAATTACCATGTATCTAGAGGAGCTGATTATGAGGCAGTTGCTTCTAGGTAAGCGCCTATACGAAGGCTGTATTTACATGTAAGAAAGTACCATTTTAACTTAGTAGTAATAATCGCTGAACTTTATGCCAAACTTTATAGTTATTACTCATTTAGTACTTGCAGCAATCCTGCGGGATAGATTCCTACTGCTATCCTCATTTTAGAGGAAGCTGAGCTGCCCAGAGGGGATAAAGAACCTGCCCAAGGTCACACACCTGCCTGAACACAGGCAGTCTGGCCCCAGCATTAGCCAGTATGTTGCAGTTCTCTTGATTCCAGAAAAATGAAATTTTGGTCAAAATCAGATGATGAGGAATGAGTAGTTTTTAACTTTTAATATATCTTAAGGTAAGCATGGAGGAATAAGTAGGTTGTGAGAAAGGAATAGTATTCTGGGCATGGATACTAATGTGAGCTACGAATGCTATTTTGAAAAGTGTCATGGAGCATAATGTTTGATGATGGGCTAAATCATGGCAGGATGTTATGGGAGAAGAGGGATTTTTAAGGTCCTTTGTATCTCCACCAGCCTTCTGAATAGCTAGCCCTAAAACATACAACATAAATAAAAGCAGGGTGCTTGTTTTGTAAGCACAGCATCAATGCAAAAGTACCTCTATTTACACTAGAATTAAAGCAATGTCCTGAATTGTGCACAATTCAGTTTTAAGACAGTTTTTCTAATGTCTCCTTCTTACCAGATTGTTCCTCCAAGTTCCGCCTATGTAGAAATTCTAGAGCTGAGTCCAGTTCTCAAAAGGTCATCTGGATGAGAATGAAAGCAACAGAGGTGAGATGGCTCAATAATAACTATGGAGAGCTTGTTAGCATTATTAAAATATAAAGCATTCATTACCTTGCTGTGCAGAAAGATAGAGATAAAAAAAATATGAAGAAGTTATTGCTTTAATGCCAGCTTTTGTGCTTATCATTTGGTGGAGAGGAGATTACATCTGTGTATGTACTACGTCTAATTTTTACAGCAAATTTTCAAATGAAGTATTATTCTTCTCATTTTACAAATAATTAAACAAAGACAAGGTAAGTAACTTCCCCGAGGTCATGTATCTACTAGATCAGTAGTCACCAACCGGTGGTCCACGGACCACTGGTGGTCCGTTAGGTCCGAAAGGTTGGTGACCGCTGTACTAGATGATCATGGGGTTCTAACCAAGATCTGTCTTATTTTAAAAATTGTGTAACTTTCATTACACCATACTACCCTTGTAGGATTGTAAAGTAGGGACAATAATGATAGTGCTGGAAATTGGATGTTTTTTCTCAAGCATATATTGCACAGAATGTGAAGAAAAGCAACGTTTATGCTAAGAAATGAGTGTTGGTGAATGATACAAAGGAAAGAGTTTGATGCCTGTTGTGAATAGAGCCTGTTTAACTAAATAGAGAAATTTGTTACTGTAGTCATCTGTCACAACAGCACTATATCAGCAGCACAGTCATCTTTGGTTTGAAAATAGGACTGACTGAGAGGCTGTTCTTGAGAACACACTGTTGAATTTATCTCCAGAGATTGGGTGTATACTTGGAAGAGACTCAGTGCATTGAATGAAAGATAAACCACTGCTTCTTGCAAAATTTCTTTTCTCAATATGATGAAAATGTTGATTATTACTAAAAATTTTTCTGAAGAATGTAATAGCTATAGACCAAAACTGAAAGGTTCAAAATGTTGCTTTCACAAAGTTTCAGCAGCAGGTATAATTGGCCTTGCAGGGAATTATTAATTTCATCAAATTCTATAGAGGCAACAGGAATGGACTCAGGTATATTTCTTTTATCACATTATACTCTATTTTTCTTCTATTGCCACCTAAGGAAACTACTGGCATTAGGCTAAGAGTTAGATATATTATTAGTCATTTTTATTGTTGATCTTTATTTTTAGTTAAATATCTCCCCCATTCCCTTTAGTGCTAAAAGCCTGACTGGCATCCTAAGCTAATATGCAAATTGTCCCCTCAACTGGGAGTTCAACCGGAAGTTCAACCAGGGGGTGGGGTCAGCCGGCCAACCGCCCACAGCACCTCCCCACAGCCAGCCCAGCCTGATCACCCCGATTGGGGCGGGCTGGCTGGACCCCATCCATGCACAAATTCGTGCACTGGGCCTCTAGTAATAAACAAGCATGTACACATCCTTATATCTGTGCACTTTTTATTTCTAGACAGAACTCAGGGCAGTATAAATTTGGGCCTCAAATATTTTAGAAAGAATCCAAATGCATTGTTCACTAACAAATATTTTTTTGAAATAAAATTTTTGTATTTTGGATGGAGACAGAATTTGAAAAATGCCTTCTTTTTTAGAATTGTTTCTAGTCTTTAGCTACTTAAAAAAAAATCTCTGAACAAATGATTTCCCAACTCTACAAATGCATGCACATGCAATGACATAAATTTGTAACCGGGATTTGTTGTGGTGATATGGAACTGTGCCTTTTAACATTTTTTTTTGGCATAATAGCAGTAAAAGTTGTACATTTCCTTCTGTCGCTATATGAATGATGCTGCCTCATTAATTTTGTGGTTTCATCGGTGAAGGAACTAATTGTGATCTTCATATCTCTATCTTTTAGAACTTTTTAATAACATAGCTCAAGATGGGATTATATAACAGTTGAAATTACTTGCAAAGAAAGCAGTAATGAAGACATTAGTTATTCTATAAGGTTTGGTATGCTGCAGAATCTTTTCAAAGCAGAGCTGGTTCAACATAAAAAAAAAATAAGGTGTTCTGAATATTTCTTTCCTCTGGTTCTTTGAGTTATCAAGAGAGTAATGTAGCTTTGGGTTTTTTTGGTTGTTTTTTTGTTTTAATCCTCAACTGAGGATATTTTTTACATTGATCTTTAGAGAGAGAGGGAAGGGAGGGAAGAGGAGGAGAAGTTTTCCATTGATTTTTATTTTTAGAGAGAGTAGAAGGTAGGGAGAGGAAGGGGGAGAGAGAGAGAGAGAAAGAGAGAGAGAGAGAGAGACATCTATATGAGAGAGACACAACGACTGGTTGCCTCCTGAATGCGCCTGACCAAGACTGGTGATTGCAACCCTTTGGTCCATAGCTGATGCTGTAACTACCAAGCCAAACTGGTCAGGGCAACATAGCTTTGTTTAAACAGCAAACAATATTAATTTTCTGCGTAGGACTAAAAATGTGGTTAATAAACAATAGAGAAAATGCTCTTTCATGCAGGTGTTTTGTTTGTTTGTTTGTTTGTGTTTTGGGTTTTTTTTAGGGCATGGTATAAACGTTAAGTTTTGACTAGTTGTCTGCACATTTTCAGGTTAATTCTTTGCCTTGCTAACTAAGCAATGTCTTTCTTTGGGAGTATTTTCCGGTCTGAATGATACAGGTTGATTATATTTCAATGAAGACTAGACAAATTGGCCCTGGCCAGGTGGCTCAGTTGGTTGGAGCATTGTCCAAAAGGTTGTGGTTTAATTCCTGGTCAGGTCACATACCTAATTTGCAGGTTCGATGATTGATCTTTCTCTCTCTCTCTCTCTCCCTTCCTCTCTCTAAACACGTCCTGGGGTGAGGATTAAAAAAAAAAAAAGGCAAGGCAAAACGATACTGGCAGTTGACATTAAGAAGTAGGCTAGTGTTAATAGATCAGTAGTTAGGGATACAAATGATATTACCCTGTTTCCGCCTGTCAGGTTAGGAATTTTCTCTTAACTCCTGCTGTAAGGTTTCTTTTGCTTTAGAATAGGGACACAGGATTCCGTAGTATAATTTTGTTCTTTAACAAGTTTTTCACAATACATTAAATGATAACTATTTTACCAACATGACTTAACATTGCCCAGCCTTGTTGTAATGGTTGAATTCTTAGGTTAAAACAATAAATTTCAACTAAATCTTTTTTTTTTGTGCTGTATTCCTTGCAGTCTCCAAAGTTCTTTAGTTTGTTGACAATTCAGAGTTTTTAAAATGATTATAAAAATTTAGTACTATCCAGCTCTTCTTAGGGGATTCCCCTTGGTTTTGAGGATAGATGTAAACATCCATCTCCGTTATGTTTTGGCCAATTAACAAAGAATCAGAAATTGGGAACCAGGGTCTTGTAATAAAATGACCTTAACCACTTGCTTTGGCTAGGCCAAGCTTAATGGACGTGGATAATATTTGTTGTGGAGAAAGTGTGCCAATATTTTACAAATGTGATTTATGTCTGGAAGTTGATTGCAAGTCTCTGTCTTTACCACTGACCTGATACTAATTTTCAGGTAGATCTAATTTGGGAGATTTCCCCCTCCATGTGTAATTAGCTAAGAGGGTGTAAACTGTTCACTTCATTTCTATTTTATGCCAATGTGTTTTAGGTCAGATTGTTGGGCAGTGGTGTGAAGAATGGTCTGAGGAGGGGCAAGATGAGACACAAGGAGACCAGTTACAATGTTTTTGCTGACCATTTAGGATGGTAGTCAAGAAAGGAGAGAGATTTTAAATAATGCAATGTCAATAAGGATGATTAATGAAATCATCTTTGTTTATTAAATACTTCCTATGTGCTGAACATAGATTGTTTCATTTAATACTCACCACATCACTATGAATTAGGTTCCATCCTCATTTTACAGAAGAGAAAAATGAGGTCTAGACAATGTTATTTTTAATGTTAGGCAGTCAGCTATGGTATAGCTGTGATTTGACTCCAGAGCCTGGGCACAAAACAACCACAACAGACCAAAATATAGGGTGTCCCTAAAAAATGTATACAGACACTTTGAATAATTATAAAGACAGTCCTTATTAAAATACATTTCATTTTCAAAATTGAGCTATCAGGTGTTAAAGTATGTATACCCTGTACTTAAGAGGTAGAATTTAGCAACTAATTAGAAGCAGGGAGGATAATTACGGAGAACTCAGATATGACTGAGAATTCTGGATTGGGCACCCTGGTGAACGATAATTCTTGTCTCTGGGTTAGAAAATACAAGAGTGGGGAACATGTTTGGAAAATTAGGGAATAATATGTTTAGTTCTGGGCATCTTGAATTTGAGATGCCTTTGAGACACACAGAAATCAAACTGGTTATGTGGATCTGGTGCTCTGGTAGGAATCTGGGCCGGAGTGTTTGGCATGATGCCTGGCATAGAATAACTGCCAATGAATATTTGTTGGATGAAATGACAGACAGATGGAGATGGAAATAGAGACAGAGAGGGAGATAGGGAAATGGAGAGAGGGAGGGAGGAAGGGGGAGCGAGAGAGAGAGAGAGAGAGAGAGAGAGAGAGAGAGAGAGAAAGAATTGGTAATTTAAAGAGTACAGTTAATTTAATGGGTGGGGTATGAGGACACATTTCTAATACCTTAACTAATAAAGAATTTAAAAAATAAATAAATAAAAGAGTACAGTTAGGCCCAGCTGGCATGGCTCAGTGGTTGAGCATTGACCTATGAACTAGGTTGTGGTTTGATTCCAGATTATTGGGCTCAATCCTTAGCGGGGGGAATGCAGAAGGCAGCCAATCAATGGTTCTCTCTCATCATTGATGTTTCTATTTCTCTCTCTGTCTCCCTTCCTCTGAAATCAATAAAAAAATATATTTTTAAAAAAGTATAGTTGGCACATGGGACTATGGGAATGAATAAAATTTCCCAAAGACAATGTGCCAAACAAAAAGAGAAGAGAATCCAGAATAACTCTGGGGCCATCAGTATTTAACAGTCAGATAATAAAAGAGAAACTTGAAAAGATAACAAAGAAGGACAAAAACTTCAAGAGAATGATATCAGAGAAGCCAAAGAAATTGAGGATTTC